TCATGCTGCTGCCAGGCCCGTAATCTGTCATGGGCCCCTGTTGTCACTTGTTGGCATATTCCACTCGTTCAGATGCTCCTTCTCCTGCTACTCCTCTTCACGGATTCCGTCAAACAGATTTCTGTCAAACAGATTTCTGTACATTGATATAGGTTTCAAACTTATTGAGACTGCACAGAGGGACAGAGTTCAAACCTTGATTCAACACCTTTTGCTCCCCCTATGATAGTTCAACTTGGCTTAAATTGAAAATTCCAGTGGTGCCTAAAACCTTTTTTGGTCCTGATCCTCCTCCCCCTTCTGGTATCTCTCTTCCTTTGTGTCCCCTTTTCACACTTTAGTTTGTTATGGGAAAAAAACGGGTTGCTCCTCCCTTCTAAAATCTGATGGTGAACCTTGATATTTCCTTCTCCAATGGCTCGACTGCACATCTCTATACAGAGGGTGTCCTGTAATGACATGATTATCCTCATATGGATCCCTATTGTTGTTAGAGAGGGGGAAAACCTATTATAAAGAGGTAAATTCCCTCCTCAATGAGTGTGTCTATAAGCAATATATCCATGGTGGTCCGACCCACCATGATTTGAGGTCCCTCGTTTGGGTTTATTGTTCCTACCTAGGTAAGCATTCTAATACCTCCCCCTTGATCTATGTGGAAACCAACTGGGGGAATAGGATCTTTATGGTGGTCTATATTGCTATGATTTTGGAGGAATATACCATCTACCCCTATGCGGAGTATTCACCCAAGCTCTTGTCTATCTCTCCCTCTTCTACTTGGATCCCCTCATTTTTCTACTTGAGGATCAGGAGGTCTTAAATTCCCTGTCAGGGTCTCCTCCGCTTTAATCTGCCATTTAAAAAATGGCACTGGAGGCATAATCAGCAAACTCCCGATTATATTTTTACTTTTTTTAGACTCTTGGTTTGTGTCTTCCTTTTCCAGCAATTGCCTCAAGTTATATCTTAGATTGTAAGCTCCAAGGAACAGGCCCTCCTAACCCTCTTGTATTGAACTGTATTATTGCTCTATTGTCTCCCTTCATATTGTAAAGAGCTCAGCAAACTGTAGGTGCTATATAAATCCTGTATAAGAAGAAGAAGAAGAAGAAGAAGAGATTTGAGTTTATATTCTTCCTGGTCTTTATATGGATTTAATTTTTCTCTATTCTGGTGTAGCGCTATCCCCGCTGTGTATTTTTGGGTTCCCTGTCTGTCCTCAGCCTGCTTTGAAAGAGCAACCCCTGCTGACACCACATTAAACGTTTGACCAGGAGGACCCCTTGGCTTGGAACCATAAAATAAACACACACTGTCTAGGGTGAACAAGTATTCTGGTTCATTGAGTTTCTGAGATATTGAGTTCAGAATAATAATAGTGCAAGCACAACAAAAGGTTCCAGTAGATGAGCATGCAATATGAGTTCAATGCTCTAAAAGGTTCAGCAAAATAGTATAACACAGTATCACTTTTAGCAACTCCCAAATGTCCTGCAGGATCAGAATTTAACATCAGTCTCAGCCTCTGAGATGTCTCTACCCAAGTGAGCTCGGAGGAACGATTAAACTGTCAGACTAACTCGCTTTTGGGCTTTCAGACTGGGTTTAACTCTGGAGGCGAATTATTTGGTGAAAAGCATTTTTGTCCATTTTTGAATCTCTTTTAGCAAAAGTGTACAAGCTTCTGCTCGCCCTAGTTGGTGCACATTAAAGCGGCGTTCCAGTGAAAAATAAAAAAAAATAAAAGTCAGCAGCTACAAAACTGTAGCTGCTAATTTATAAAAAATGGACACTTACCTGTCCCTCGAATCCTGCGGTGTCCCCCCCCTCCCAGCCAGTTTCACAGACAGCTTGCGGCTTCACAGTTGGGTGCTCACTGCGCATACGCGAGTAGCGCTGCACCTTGTGAATGGTCCCGTTGTCTTCTGGGACCTGGCACATGTCCCAGAAGACTACGGGGAGGGAGGACAACTTCCACTTCCGATCGCCTAGGTGATTGCAGCAGAAGTGGGAGTGGGTACAAGTCAGTTTCGGGTACCCACTCCCCCCCACACTCCCCAAAAGGTGCAAAGCCTTAACAGGGAGGGGGGGGGACCAGTCCATAAAGTGGAACTTCCCCTTTTGTGTGGAGCTCTGCTTGAAGGTTCAGATCTTTCCTTGTGTTAAGGCAAGTTTCTTTCAAGATGGTGTAGTCTCAGAAAAGCAAAACTCCTCCTTGGAGTAATGTTGAAATTAAGTGAAATCTCTTTTAATACGAAGGATGAAGGCAAAGATTTAATAAGATTTTAAAAAGAGGCGTAAGTAGGTTTTAGCAGAGGTGGACTCCTCCTCAAAGGTGGTGAGCTAGTCTGAAGAAGCAAGTTGTTAATAGTTAGAAGAGACTTAAAAGGAGACACTAATGTGACTCTGTCTGCAAGGTATATAAAAAGTAACAAATTCCTGCAATTTAGGATGTTAATAAAGCATTAATCAGTAGGACGCAATAAGCTGGACAGTCTGGGCCTTAGTGTGATAAGCTGTGATGTAAGGTGTACTGAATCGAAAGTCACTTGTAACTTGTGGTGATCTGGGTATGGAACCCTCTCACCCAATCTGTAGCCTTGGTAGCGCAACAGGTAGCCTCTCAGTAGGGGGGGGCCCATGTTCTCTTGGTCCCTCTGTTAAGGAGTGATGCCGATGGAAGCACCATGATCTGCCTGCCTGCAGGATTGTCTGTCCTACTTGTCAGTAATACCAGCAGCCTGGCCTGGATCTCCAGCGTCCCACACAGCCTTCTCCCACACACCCGTTCTCTATCCCTCACCATCCACTTCCTTCCTGTATGGTTCCCGGGCTTCTGAAATATATGCTCCCACCCCTTTGCCAGCTCTTCTGGGAGCACAAAGATGCTGCTACCAACATACAAGTTCAACAAGGCTGTTCTTCAATAGAGTCTACATAGCTGAACCGCAGAATACTGCCATCCTGAGTTCACTTAACATCCTGCAACCAGGATATATGGAAGAAAAATATGTGCAAAATATATTTTTGAAAAAATTCTTCCCAAATATTTTTACATCTTTGAAATACTACAATTTTGGCCATATTCAATATATTTCAAAATATATTTTTTATATATATATATATATATATATATATATTTTATATATATATATATACTGCATGTTGAAATGCGTTTTTATTACAAAAATATTTAAAATATTTTTAAAAATACATTTCAAATATACTGTATGTCTTTAAAAATACAAATCTACATTTTTGGAATGCATGTACAAATATATGTAAAAATATATGTTAAAATTACTTTTTTTTATATGTTAAAAAAAAATCTGAAGAATATGTTTAAAAATAAATTATATTTTTTTTATTTGGGAAGAATATTTTAAAATCTATATTTCAAATATATTTTTCTTCCATGTGGGTAATGCAGGGTGTTACACTGGGAAATTTCTACATTAAGCTTATACAGCTTTTTTTCTTTTTGGTGATCAAAAACTGGAGAAATTTGACACCCATCTCATTACAATAGGTAAACCATTCTGCAATCTCTGTTTCTTCCTTTTGGTGCTTTACCTCAAATGTAAACCGCGAGGTACCATTTTAGAAGATACATACTGTATTGTTCCAAGCATGCTATTTCCCAATTTGTAGGCAACTCTGAAATCAGAAGGTTCTTTAATCTCATAAATAAACCACTCATTTTCTAAGATTGTCCCACTTTTCCATCAAAAACTTCAGCAGCATTAGCGATACTCAAAAATATCCATTATACCCAGCTTCAGTGAAACGTATCACAATTGGTAAACCTCAAAGAAAAAGGAAAAAAACACTACTCAGGTTAGATAACAATAACTGCCAGCACCAAGAGGTCAGATACAGTACATAAACTCAGAAAACCAATAAAAAAACAACATAAAAAAGTGAAGTGCAGCGCTATGAAAGACCAAAACATATGACATCCATAGTGTAAATAACACCAATATGATAAATGTACATGGATAGAACACTTATATGTAAAATAATAAGTTAAATAAACTATTTTTTAACAAATCTTGTTAAATGGTTTTATACTATGGGAGTGTTTCTTGCATCTTGTTTTTGAGAAACTTGGAAGGCATATTTCCATAATCAGTGGCGTGAGGATGCTAGCTATTGGATTATCTAATCCCTTGAAGCACTGCTAGACCTACCTGTGCACACAGGGGTCATTAAAATCTGGTAAGGAGCTGCACCGTGTGGTCTGAACTAGATGTACTTTTCTTACTGGTTGGAGTCTCTTGGTGCACAAACTCTCTTTAAACACACGGTGGTGTTTCACTTACTAAATTAAGAAGATCGCTTTTATCTTTGTATTTCACTATTTATTCACCATTTGATGACTTTGAGTCTCTGTATTGGACTTTGCTTTTTTTATTTCACATATAAGTGTTCTATCAATGAACATTTATCATTAATGGTGTTATTTATACTACGGATGCCATATGTTTTGGTCTTTTCTAGCTTTGCAATTCGTTTTTTTTTATACGTTTACTGAGGAATGTTTATCTTATTGTGCTCAATGTGTTAACCACTTCAAGTCTGGATACTTTCACTCCCTTCCAGTCCAGTCCAATTTTCAGCTTTCAGCACTGTCACATTTTTAATGACAATTACGCAGTCATCCATAGTATAAAAATCACTGTGCCTATATGAGGTTTTTAGCATTTTTTCACAGAAATAGAGCTTTCTTTTGGTGGTATTTGATCACCACTGGGTTTTTTTATTTTTTGCTATAGAAATGAAAAAAATACCTAAAATTTTGAAATTTAAATTAAGGCCAAAATGTATTCTGCTACATTTTTGTGGGTAAAATAACCCAAACAGTGTATATTATTTAGTCTGTGTGAAATGTATAGAGTCTACAAACTATGGGATATGTATCTGAAAATTGATCAGTTGACACCCTAAAATGCTGGACGCTGGTATGAGATATGGTGGTGAGCAATCACTATGCTGGTATTGGGTATGACTGTGATCAGGACGCTGATATGGGGTATGGCAGTGATCAGGACGTTGGTATGGGGTATGGCAGTGATCAGGACATTGGTATGAGGTATGGCAGTGATCAGGACACTGGTATGGCATTGATCAGAACACTGGTATCGCAGTGATCAGGATGCTGGTATGGGGTATGGCGGTGATGATGCAGGTACGGGGTATGGTGGATCAGGTATGCTGGTATGGGTATGGTGGTGGTCAAGATGCTGGTATGGGGTATGGTGGTGGTCAAGATGCTGGTATGGGGTATGGCGGTGATCAGGATGCTGGTATGGGGTATGGTGGTAATCAAGATGCTGGTATGGGGTACGGCGGTGATCAGGATGCTGGTATGGGGTATGGTGGTGATTAGGACACTGGTATGGGGTATGGTGGTTATTGCCACCATACCCTATACCAGCATTCTGATCACCCCATATGCCATACCCTATGGTATGGCAGTGATCAGGACGGTGGTCCTGACCACTGCCATATCCCATACCCATAGTGACACACAGATCGTTAGGCTCCTGGGTGCGTGCTCTGTGAGGTACATCAGGCTGCATAGGCACTGTTTCCCGTCTGCCGTCTATAGACAAAGGGCAGACAGAAAATGGTTAAACTAAAAAGACACTGAGGAGTCAATACTAGTTTAATTAACGTAAATACAGAGAATATGTACAAACTACTATAGAATCCCTTTCAGTGCAGAATTTTTATATCCTTCTAGATCATACCTTCAAAACATTATTACTTTTTAATGGCATAGTATAGACATAAAATAAGTATTTTTATTTATTGTAGCGCTTTGTTCCCTTCAGCGATTCCTGTCTTTGATGTATGATAAAAAATAACAATTTTGCTCATTCAGTTGTCATGTTTTAATGTACTGTGTGCATTCCCACCTCACATTACGCCCAAACTTGTCCCACTGAGCTGCGAAGAGTAGGAAATATTTTCTAGTTAAACTTTTACACACATACCACTACAAGTCATTTGTGTTGCTCACACTTATTTGCACTTGACTGGAGCAGTTCCAGACAAGACACCAGAAGAGTTAGGCAATTAGGTAGCATTTTTCAAGATGCCAACTCAGACCTCAACCTTGACTTTTACAGCCGCCAGTTACAATAGCAATACATAATATTGACTGCAGGTATACAGTCTCTACCTGGTCAGCCTAGCCTATAAAAATTATAATTATTTCCTTTACTAATCTAGCTCCAACATACTATGTAGAGATGTACAGAGAACATAGTGCCAATCACGTCAGACTTTATAGTCTAAAGTTTCCATAGTCATACAAGCTCACACATACACACTCTTCTGCCAGTCTGGTAGAACACTAGTACAATTACTTCAGGTTTTAGGTCAGCTTCACACCTATGTGTTAAATGGCACATGTACCACCACAATAAAGAAGATTCACCTTTCCTGCAGAACACCAATGCAGAGTAGGGGCTCAGTCACACTGTGTGCAGTGAACCCTGTTTTTCCATTGAATAAATGCAGGTCACTGATAGGGTACATGGAAAACAATTGTTTTCTATGTGCCCTGTTCACGCCACAATGCTTGTGTGATGTGCAGTGCATTACACTGCAGAAAACCGCAGCATGCACTGGACAGCACTGCATGTCACTGCACAGCAGTGTAACACACCACACTGCAACATAACAAAACAGCATAACACACTGCACTGCTGTGCAGTGACATTTCAAATAAAGTTGAGAAAAAAAAACAAGCAATGCAAAGCACAGAGATGCCAATTGCACTGCCCCCTACTGGATCCAGTACTGCACTGGTCTGCACAGTTAAAAGCTCAGTTTTATAATGAGGGTAGTGTGAATGTAGCCTAACTGCCCTCAATCTATCCATTATTATAGATGTGCTCCAACTTTGGAGACTCTCAGAAGTTATGGAGTTATAACTAGTATACTAGGGTGCCTTGACGTGGCCTCTGCAACTTATGCATATATTTGGTAGCAGGGGCGGACTGACAACTCATGGGGCCCGCGGGCAATAGGGGATCATGGGGCCCCTGTGTCCTTGTCCACACTCAAACCACACTCAAAAAAACCTATGAAAAGGTACCAAGGGGCATCTCATGGGGCCCCCTACTGACCCCGGGCCCTTGGGCAGTGCCCGAGTTCCCAAATAGTCAGTCCGCCCCTGTTTGATAGGGTAATTAGGTAGCATTTTTCAAGATGCCAACTCAGACTTCAACCTTGACTTGTACAGCCGCCTCTGCAACTTATGCATATATTTGGTTGGGCAATTAGGTAGCAACCTATGCATATATTTTCAAATGTGTGCAAACTAAACCCCTTGGTTTAATGTGAACTGTTGTAGGCTGGCTGGTAAGTGAGCTGAGAATTTTTGTTTGTGGTTTTTTGACATGTGTCACCCTTCAATGTGCTCCTTACTGTGAAGGCCAGTTATAGGTTTAAGTGGTTGCCATTTTTTTGTGACACACTAATGTGCATTGTGAAATTATGTATATCCAACTTTAGGTCCATTGGGGTGCATTGGCAATGCAAATGAATGTGCTGTCTTAGGGTCCATTCACACAGGACGGACCCGTTCAGTGGATCAGCTTGCTCAGCGGGGGAACTCTCCACTGATCCCCTCTGAGCACGCGGATAACAGCTCTGTGTCTGCTCCGCTCCTGCAGAGCAGACACAGAGCTGCTCACTCTCCTCAATGAGCAGTCAGATGGAAGCGGACCGCCTGTCTGTTTTCAGCTGACCCGATCCGACGGATGGAAGGGGAATTGGATACCCATCCATCCCTTTTTTCTGGATCAGATGTCGGCGGGTGTAAACGGACACATGTCCATTTACACCTACCATTCCATAGAAGAGAATGGAGATTCTGATCGGGTCAGCCTGAAAAATGGGCAGGCGGATCCGATCGGAACATCTGTGTGAAAGCGCCCTTACTGCAATACCATGCTTTTTTCCTAAAGTGAAACGTTAGAAAATGAAGTCCTGCTAGATCACTACGGAGTGGCCCCTTTTGCAAGTATAGCCATGTAATACATTAAAAATAAGTACCTATACTGCTTAAATTCCAGTAATACACTGTCTCACCATGCTCTGTACATGCTCTGTTGCTCCCTATTTTTCAACACTGCGCCAAAAATGTAGACGCTGATCTGCTGACAGCCTATAGATTTACTGCTGCTCAGGGGTTCTGGACTTCAGCAAAATGGCAGCCTTCAGCAAAAAAGAAACAAGAAAATGCTGGAGACAATTACAATTTACAGCACACGCTAATTTTGGTAGCATAATTATTAATATGGAATGTACAGTAAAGTCCATATGTAATTGGACACAGGCACAATTTTAGTTTTTTCAGGTATTTACCAAAACATATTCAAGCTATAGTTATATAATGGATATGGGATGAAAGTGCACACTCTCAGGTTTAATTTGAGGGTATGTACCGTATTTTTCGCCGTATAAGACGCACTTTTTCTTCCCCAAAACTGGGGGGGAAAAGTTGGTGCGTCTTATACGACGAATAGAGAGAGAATCCGTGAGGCGCGGCCACGGCCGTAGGAAAGGCCGCGGCTTTAACCTATCTCTGGAGCGGTCGGTCGGCCATCTTGGTACACCCGGCGGTGCGCGCTGACGTCATCACCCCCTCTGCTCGTGGATCAGCAATGGGCAAACTACGGGGCGGACAGGATGTAGGCGGGGCAGCGTGACGAAATCCTCTCCTCTCACAGTCCGCCCTGAAGACCGGAACGGGCGCGGGAACACGGCGAGAGGAACTCGCGGAGCAAAGGTAAGTGAATTGACACAATATGGGGAATGAATTACTATAGGGGGGATGAATTACTATAGGGGGGATGAATTACTATGGGGGATGAATTACTATACTATGGGGGATGAATTACTATATGGGGGATGAATTACTATATGGGGGATGAATTGCTATATGGGGGATGAATTACTATATGGGGGATGAATTACTATATATGTATTGGGTTCTATATGGGGGATGAATCTATATGTACTGGGTTTTTTTTTCTAGATTTTCCTCCTTTAAAATTGGGTGCGTCCTATATTCCGGAGCGTCTTATATGGCGAAAAATATGGTACATCCAAATTGGAGGAAGGGTTTAGGAATTACAGCTTTTAAAAGTAGCCCACCCCCCCTTTTTTCAGAGGACCAAAAGTAATTGGACAAATGTATATAATCATAAATAAAATGTTAATTTGTAATATTTTGTTGAGAATCCTTTACTGGCAATGGCTGCCTGAAGTCTGGAACCCATGGACATTACCAAAGACTGGGTTTTCTCCTTTCTGATGCTTTGCTAGGCTCCAACTGCAGGTGTCTTCAGTTGTTCTTTGTTTGTGGCTCTTTCTGCCTTTAGTTTTGCTTCAACAAGTGAAATGCATGCTTAATGGGGTTGAGATCAGGTGATTGCAGAATATTCCACTTCTTTTCCCTCAAACGCTCCTGGGTTGCTTTTGCAGTGTGTTTTGGATCATTGTCCATGTGTACTGTGAAGCGCAGTCCAATCAACTTTGCTGCATTTGGCTGAATCTGGGTTGACAGCATATCTCTGAACACTGCAGAATTAATCCGACTGCTTCTGTCTTCTGTCACATCATCAATAAACACCAATGACCCAGTGCCACTGGAAGCCATGCATGCCCATGCCATCACACTGCCTCCACCATGTTTTGCAGAGTACGATGTGTACTTTGGATCATGGGCTGTTCCAAGCCTTCTCCACACTTTTTTCTTCCCGTCATTCTGGTACAGATTAATCTTAGTTTCATCCGTCCATAGAATGCTTTTACAGAACTGGTCTTGCTTTTTTAGATGTTTTTTGGGAAAGCCTAATCTGGCTTTTCTATTCTTCAGACTTATGAATGGTTTGCACCTTGTGAATCCTCTGTATTTGCTCTCGTGAAGTCTTCTCTTGATTGTAGACTTTGACAATGATATGCCGACCTCCTGGAGAGTGTCCTTCACTTGTCTGGATGTTGTGAATGGATTTTTCTTTACCATAGAGAGGATCCTGCGATCATCCACCACTGTTGTCTTCCGTGGACGTTCCACCATTTTATATTGCTGAGCTCACCTATGCATTCTTCTTTCCTCAGAATGTACCAAACTGTTGATTTGGCCACTCCTAATGTTGCTTCTATCTCTCTGATGGATTTTTTCTTTGTTTTTGAATCCTTACAATGGCCTGTTTCACTTGCATGGACAGCTCCTTTGAACGCATAATGTAGGTTCCCAGCAATAGATTCCAAATGCAAATACCACACTTAGAATCAACTCCAGACCTTTTACCTGCTTAATTTATGAAGAAATAATGAAGAAGTAGCCCAC